TTTGTTTAGTCACACAATTCCAGTCATGACCCTCAGGAACACTTGTATAACCAACCAAGCCCTGTGGAAACCCCAGAGGCAAGCAGGGAAAGAGCTCACCTCTTTAATTAGTCAGAAAGCAGCTGCTTCTGTGAGCTAAGGAATGAAACATTAAAAGTCCAGCTTCTGACAAAAGCAAAGAGTGTGGGGAAGAAGAAAATGAGGGAAGGAAAAAGGGAGAGTACAGGTAGATGCTACAACCAAAGGTTCACCTCCGAAACACACACATTACAAATCTCAGTCCCATTTCTCCATGTTAATACTGAGTGAATTTCAGGTGTCTAATTCCTGTCTTTCCATGTTCTGGAAAATGGATCTACTCTGAATAAGCTTTAAAATGACGATGTAACTGCAAAGGGCTTCATCTCAGGTAATATTATTTATTCACTGAAAGTTCAAAAAACACTTAATAGTAGGAATAACTGGTGCATTCATCAATTACATGGATAAATAATGAACATGTTTCAATTGGAACACCAGTATTAGTTCCCTAATCACCACTTTTTTCCCCTAATTTGATAGGGGTGGGGGTTTAAGGGATGGGGAAGGTTGCTATGTGCTGTACACAGAGATTCTTCTCACTTCTGATGTTAAGGGCTCTAAAATTATCCTTTATGGGGAACCCTATTCAAGTCTTACAGTAAGAGTCAACTGGAGAAATCATCAAGAACCCATCAACACTCTTAAAAATACAAATGTCCTAAGATGGTCTCAATACATGACCAAGCATATAAGTAAATAAGACAGGAAGGTGAGCTGCAACATAAATCTCTTTCTTTAATATTAAAAAATTTAAGAAAGAAAACATTCAGATTACTACAAAGAAACATTTAAAATAAGCTCATTAAATGAAAATTAAAACAGAAACACTATATAAGCACTGGGCCACAATTAAAGGCTGAAGAAACAGCAGGTAAGAAACAATTTCCACTGATCAAGAAACTAAAAGCTAACAGAATAAAGTATTCTGCATTGAAACTGCTTTAATGAATATGAAACATTATCAAGTAAGAAGAACCTTCTTTTCTGAATTTTTCAAAGAAGCTTTGGAGGTAGAAATGGATTTGCATATCTTAATACAAAGTACTTTCATTGTACCATTTTCAAGCAATGAAGCCATGAGGTTTCAAAAAAATGTAGACTTCAAAAAAAATCCTTAGAAATAGTTCCAAAGTTGAAAAGGGCATCGAGTCATCATTCTAGAGCCTTTGGACCCAAAGAAGAACTGTACATAATTACATGAAATCTATGCAAAAGCTTAGAACTTCTTTTGTGACACAATTGTACCTCATTATAAACAGCTTTCAGAGCCTACCTTGGGTACTTAGATGCAGGGTCACTTCTCATCTAAAATTATTGAAATGGCAGAGCAAGTAGCAGTAGACAGTATATTTAACTAAAATATAAATTCTGAGACTTTAAAATTCACTGCATACAAGCTTTAAAACAAATATGCAGATTTGTGGGCAAACAGTACAGTGAGACTGTACATTCATGACGGCGGGGTGTTTTTTTCTGTTTTTTGTTTTTTGTTTTTTTTTAATTCATGTATCCCTGGCACCTGGAACAGTACTGGGCACACAGTAGATACTCAATTATTGAATCTGCTCTCATGAAAATAAAGCATTATAAAATGAGAAGTGAAGGTTCTGAAGGTTTTTTCTTCATAAGATTCATTAAAAAAATTAAAATATACTGTTTTTCATCTATCAGAAAGACAAAAATAAAAAATTTTATGGTACACAGAGGGAACGTGGACACTCATAAACATTGTTGGAGGGGGGCAGGGCCATTAAGGACAGTTGTGCACTTTGTGCACTGTTCGAAGGCAATGTCTTTGGAGAGAGAGGGGAAACCCAGTAGGTGCTTTGCTGTTGAACGCTGGGTCAGTTCTGGGAAGGATGTCTTTTTGTAATTTTTCAGCTCAGAGGAGTAGGACAGCTCTTTGCTACCTTGTTATGGCAGACAGAAATGTAAAACAGCGTAATTTATTTTAAACAATTTGGAAATCCCTAGCAAAATTCAAAGTCTACAAACCCTTTAGCTAGAAAATCCACTTAGAAACTGTAATAATATTTTTACTTTACATATAGGCTTACATATGCAAATGAAATGATATGGACACAAACCTTCCTGATGACAGCAACTGTCTGTAAACCTACTGTATGCTCATTTATTGGAGAGTACCTGCATAAGTTATGTACATCCACTAAATACTAGACAGGAATCACTGTAGGGTGGATCTGTACATGCAGGTTTGTAAGTCTTCTAAGAGATGTTAAGTTAAACAAGATACAGAAGAGATTATGTTCTAATTATTTTTTAAATCACTCAAAAATCATTTTTAAGACATTGGGTTTGAATTTCAAAATTGGCAACATAGTTATATATATATCCATGCACTTTAACATCTGATACTACTTAAATACCTAAATCCAGTTCTATACTACATATAGAATATACCACAAATATTACTATTAAAATTCAATTTTAAACACACAAAAATGGTAATTTTAAAAAAGGGTGAAATATAATTTTAAGAGAGGTACCAAAAATTACATTTTTCTAAGTTGAATTCTCTTAAGTTTTTATTATGCTTTATATTATCTTAACATCCTCTCCATATTTCTCAAAACGTCATAATTTTTCACCCACTTAAATTATATTTCTATAGCTGTCTGAGTCAGGGCATTTAACATATTAATCATAATCTAACTGGAAAATGTAAGTACTTTTGAAACTGTCTCTGTGCCAAGAAAGAATCCTGAATTTTGAGAAAGCAAAAAAAGGTAATTTTACTGGTAGTGAGGCAACAGTCAATCCCCCTTACTCCTATTCTTCCAAGAAATGCAATTTCTGTTTTTCCTTAAAAGTGAGCTGAGATTTACATACAGTATAAGAGTACTGTTAGCATTAAAGAATGTGTAGCAATTAAAGACAGCATAGGCACAAAAGGGGCAAGTTCTGAGCAGCATACATGTCTTTAACAAAAATAAAATAATCCCCAGATATATATTAATGTATATTTTAATCTCCAGTATATCACTGGATATAGACTATAAATAAGGCCTTTCCTGGCTCCAAAGTTTAGTCAGAAACGGGAAACATCACTCCAAGACTTTCCTTCAATTGCTCCCACTTTCACTTACCTTTGGCATTATTCAACTGAACCAACTCCAAAATTGGCAATTAAGATTTTTATTAAAATGTACCCATTGACCGAATTAGGCAATGCAAGTAGTTGACTAGCTGTATAATTTATTGTACATTGTCCACATGGTTTTAACAAGTAAGGTACTTTTCCAGGGAGGGAGCATGGATTTATTTATGTTGTAATACACTTATTTGCACTGTGTCAAACAATAGCTGGAGTATGAGAAAGAACACTTTTAAAAATCCACCTTACATTCTCCACATCACTACCAGTTATTAATAAATGTCTAATCATCAAATCTAAAGATAATACGCTTCCTTCCTGTGTTCCTAAATCCCAAACTAAACTGCATAAACATAGTTCATTCTAACAAAGTTATCTATATAATCATCTATTAGATAACAATTTAGAATTAAGTGATGATTTTTAGATCTTAAATTCTTGCCTGTATATAGCTTCACCAACAATCATACCATGCTAGAAAGGTAAGAAAAATTGGACAACATCCTTAGGTTTTATCATTGTTGCAAACACAGTGTCAGTTAGCTGGCATGATTCTCCTAGTGACGGGTAAAACGTTTTACACGTTAACATTCGTTTAATAAATAAAAGATGTAAGTTTATCAGTGCATACAAACTTATATATTTTTAAAAATCACCTTCTACCTTCTTGGATAGACGACATCTGACTTCAGATGTACTTGCGTTTCGTAAGTGGTGCCCATTCAAGAATAATCCCCAAATAAACTCACCAAACCAATACATAATCTACAGGAAATCTGTCATAATAATCTCCCCAAACATCAATGTTTTGTAATCACACTGTGCGTTTCCATTAATTTTCAGAGATAACCCTTAAAATAACTTTTGGCTTAACAATCCTGGAAGACAGGAACTTTTCTAACCTTATATATAACAGGGTTTATAAGCAACTCTAACAGCCACTTCCAAAGCTTTATTCACATAAATGCACCTAGGGCCTTCTGTGTATAAAAAAAGTGTTTTTTGTTTGTTTTTTGTTTGTTTTGTTTTTGCAAAATGAATCGTTAGTTCACTATGCGAAAAGTTTTGATCCTTGTTATCACTGACTCAATTATTCTTTCAACTCAGACCTCCAGGGAGAGATTTAGAAGACAAAACCCAAGGGAGCAAGAAGTTTAAATCCATCTGCAGGAATCTGTTTTGACCTCAACCATCGTCCCTAGGCACTGTCCATTAGAGCTTAGCGCTTCGCGAGCGTTTCCCTTAAAGAGTTCTCCGGAGAGTGGGTCCCAATCTGTCCTAAGCGGCAAGACCGCCTCCCAAGCGCCCTGAGGGACGGAAACCGGGGCGGAAGGCGGGGCCTTCCCACAGCCCCTAGAGGTCTGGCGGGCGGTGCGCTCGCTGACGGACCGCGGGACGCAGCCTTCGCCTCGGGCAGCGCCGAGGCGCACGCCAGGGTCCCTCGCGAAGTTGGCTCCAGGGGGAAGCCCGTCAAACGAGGGCCGGGTCGGGGCTTAGGACACACACACACTTATTCTCCAGGGCCACGGCGGGCACCGGGGAGCCGGCGGCGCAGGCTGAGGGTGGCGCGGACACCGACACCCTGCCACGGACAGCGGACACGGGCAGCACCCCGGCGTCCCTGTCAGCCGAGGCCCGGCGCGGCGCAACAGCTGGGCGCGAGGCGGCGCAGAGAGGCTGTACCTGTCAGGTACCCACGTACCTATCATGGCCACTGGGCAGTTGGAGGCTGCCGGGCGAGCAAGGGCCTACACGCACGCCGGCGGCCGCCTGCGCCTCACACGAGCGACGCTCCCGGGTTAAATCGTGCAGGAAGCCTGTCCCCCGCGCCCGCCCTTGGGGGCGCGCATGCGCAAAGGGGGCTTAGCCCGAGGCCTTCTGGGAGTCGTAGTTTTAATGCGTAGTCTCTCCTCAGGTCGGTCGCTGCCGCCCGCGGCCCGCCGCCCGCCGCCCTTCCGGCCTGAGGCCTAGGAAACGTCCGTCACAGAGAGGCAGGGTCATTCGGCCGCAGTGTTGACGTGTCGCTTAGCAACCGGGAGGGTTACCTTTGGAAGCTTGTTGCGGCTCTAGCCTCTGTCCTGCCCTCTTCCCGCCCCTCCCCTCCCCTCAACTCCCTTCACCTGGGAGCTGCCAAACATCTGGATAAACTTGGGCACTACGAGGGCGTGAAATTCTACAGTAACGCGCCTTTTTACATTTTTTCCCGACCTCCTTCTCACATCCGTAAAACTCACTGATTCTTTTACTACACGTTTTATGAGAACAAGACATTTTCTAGGAAGATGGTGGCCGAAAAAGAGACCCTGAGCTTAAACAAATGCCCAGACAAGATGCCGAAGAGGACCAAGCTGCCGCTCCTGGTGCACCAGCCTCACTCCCTGGTTTCTGAGGGCTTCACAGTCAAAGCCATGATGAAAAACTCAGTCGTAAGTGATCTTCCTGAATTGAATGTACTCGCTCCGAATCAGGGGACACCAGGTTGTAGAGGATGGCTAGCCCTAGGATGGATTCTGGGCCCATATCTAGGGTGGTCTTTGCCAAAAATGGCAATTACTCGGCCAGTAACAGACGGTGCCCAACAGAGTGTGGAGGTCCAGGCTAGGCTGCTAGAAGGGATCTCGGGCAGCTGACGTACTGTGCCCGTTTCTAAGCACCTTCCTAATAACTCACGGTTTCTAGACCACCTAAATTTACTCTTAAGCTATTTACACAAAGAAGAAAGATCCCCTTTACTTATTGATTCCTAAACTGTCTCACTCAGCAAAAGGCCTTATAGAAGGAGAGTTCTTAGAAATCATAAACTCTCTTGCAAAATTTAACATGTGCTGATGTACAGCTGGGAACATAAACTCATTAATTAACAGTATGAAATTTCATCAATCAACCTAGAAATTTTTAGAATATCCTAGCATTTCTTCTAATAACACTCACAAAATCGCATGTTAGAGTACTAAAAGGCAACTTAATAAGAAGTCTATTTCCAGATAGATCTTTTAAACTATTAATTTTAAACAATCCAAGCTTCTGTTCAAGTATCTCTCTCTGCCTATTAATACAATTCATATTTCATTTCTACTGTTTTGTGGTAGTAAAAATCAACTATTCTCAATATTCTCAATAGTTTACTTAGGAGGAAAAGTTTTAAACTGCACACAAATGGTTTGGGTATGTGCATGATAGTTTAAAAAAAAAAACTTTTAATTTGGTATGCTACACCAGGTTTTACTACTGAGTAAGCACTTGTCTGTGAATGAGATAGTCAATAATAAATGCAGCTTTCAAATTTGTATAATTTACACTCTGGGAGGATCTGACTTATTGTAGAGCAACTCATTATGTTAAATGAAGAGCATTGCTTTCCAGTGTCACATTATTCGTTTTACATAAATGTTGCAAACCTAATACCTTATTCCTAAACCACATCCTTAAAATACAGGAATGAAACAGATCACCTTTAGATGCTGAGGCCAGATTCCCATGTTGCTACACAAAATGAAATTCTGGTTGTCAGAATGTGTGTCAGTTGAATTGCAATAGTTAAAATTCTTAGAAATAGACTAAAACTTTCTGCTTGTTGTAACTGCAGTCCTTTGGCATGTATTTCATGTGAATATGTGGTCATGGGAGTCAATATAACTCATTTATCAGCAACACAGAATACCATAACATTCAAGCTAATTATTTCTTTTTTTCTTCTAAACAGTATATATGATTATAATTTTAGTGATTTTTTTCAATGTTATATTTCTTCAAAGACATGTAAAAAATTGGTCAGATTCTTTTTTTTCTAAACCTATATTTACAATCACGTTTTCTTTTTAAAAAACATAGCTTTGCACCTAAAGTCATAATTCTGGAAAATCAAGTATTTCAGTACTGACAAATGTAACAAATATGCTTACAAGACTCAAACAAAAAAATCGATTATGAAGCAGCCTTCATTATAAACAACTTATTTGAGATAAATTATCTTTTTATTTCCATATACTTAAGGAAAATCCCTTAGTGTAATATTTATGTCTCCTTTGGGATCCTCAAAAGAGGATGAGTCATTCTTTCACTTCATTTAGTGGAAATCATAATTGTTAGATGCAAACATTATTCATCCATTCATTCATTCAATCAACAATAGTTTTTTTGTTTGATTGTTTTTTGTTTGTTTTTTTAAATCTGAGAACTTGCTCAGCATAGTTCTGGGGATTTGGGATCAGCAAAACAAAGTCTCAGTCCTTAAAACTCCAAGGAGAACCACCACTAACAGCAATGGTCAAGTCTTGATAAAAGAGAGAGACTGTTTATACAAACTAACTTCAGTGGTACAGGAAATAAAACCCTTCCTTTTCGTATCCAATATTAACATCTCAACATTTCTGCCCTCGACAGTGTAGACCTTTCAGCATTACATGGTCAAAACACCCCTCTTTTCTAAGGTTTATTTCTATTCAGAAAATAACATGCCAATCTCCAGCTTTTCTTTTCTTTTTTTTTTTTTTTAACATCTTTACTGGAGTATAATTGCTTTACAATGGTGTGTTAGTTTCTGCTTTATAACAAAGTGAATCAGTTATACATATACATATGTTCCCATATCTCTTCCCTCTTGTGTCTCCCTCCCTCCCACCCTCCCTATCCCACCCCTCTAGGTGGTAACAAAGCATCGAGCTGATCTCCCTGTGCTATGCGGCTGCTTCTCACATGTATATATGTCCATGCCACTCTCTCACTTCGTCCCAGCTTACCCTTCCCCCTCCCCATGTCCTCAAGTCCATTCTCTATATCTGTGTCTTTATTCCTGTCCTACCCCTAGGTTCTTCAGAACCATTTTTGTTTTTTGTTTAGATTCCATATATATGTGTTAGCATACGGTATTTGTTTTTCTCTTTCTGACTTACTTCACTCTGTATGACAGTCTCTATGTCCATCCACCTGACTACAAATAACTCAATTTCGTTTCTTTTTATGGCTGAGTAATATTCCATTGTATATATATGTGCCATATCTTCTTTATCCATTCATCTGTCAATGGACACTTAGGTTGCTTCCACGTCCTGGCTATTGTAAATAGAGCTGCAATGAACATTGTGGTACATGACTCTTTTTGAATTATGGTTTTCTCAGGGTATGTGCCCAGTAGTGGGATTGTCCAGCTTTTCTTTTTTTTTTTTTTTTTCCGGCACGCGGGCCTCTCACTGTTGTGGCCTCTCCCGCTGCAAAGCACAGGCTCCGGACACGCAGGCCCAGCGGCCATGGCTCACGGTCCCTGCCGCTCCGCGGCACGTGGGATCCTCCCGGACTGGAGCACAAACCCATGTCCCCTGCATCGGCAGGCGGACACTCAACCACTGCGCCACCAAGGAAGCCCTGTCCAGCTTTTCTTAATTGCAACTCCTTGTTCCAAAAGCCAACCCTCAAACCACTTTTCTAGTGTTAGGGCTTGCCATCAGTTCCTCTTTCCAACACTCACTAATTAAATAAGTCACCATTCCATTGCACTTCCCCAAAGGCTTGTAGAACTATATCCTAAGGAGGTATATGGAGACTCCCAATGTTTCACTGAGGGTGCTTTAGTAATATAAGTATACAAGCTTAATCATAGACAGATATGATCAGGTGGGCTGTGCAAGCCGAAATCCTTAAACAGTCATAATCTATGTATGTGAATGCAAAATTATTTACAAAATAATGATAAATATGTAAGTAGCTAGTTTTTTTTTTTAAATCCTGATGTCAAGTGTTCTTCAACTGTAAGTAGTTCCTTTACCTATGTGAAATTGTTGTTGCATTCTGTATAGAAACAAGCAATGAGAAAACTCCTGCAATCAGAGAATAATAATCAAATTCATATTATTATAATGTTTGACTCAAAAGAATGATAGGAGATGCAGAATTTGAAGATTTCCTAGTTTATTTTCCCTTTAAAGGCCTTGTTTGTGGTCTGATAGAACCTATAACCAGAAACCAGTAACCCAGTGTTGTATTGGCTTCTTCTCAACAGATGGTAGCTGCTTTCTGTGCTAACCTACCTTATCATAAAGCAAGTTAGGATATGGGCCCAAGGTTATGATGAATGAGATGCTGACTTCAACTGAAGCTTTATACTACATCTTTCCTTTTCAGTAGACTATAGATGTTTTATGCTCAAAGTTTATGGGAATGGGAGAAATAATTCTTTAATATTACTTTACTTATATAGAAACTTTTATGCTTACAAATTCATTCAACACATAGGAGCAATGGTCAGTATTTATAAATTATATATTAAGATATTGATTTGGCTGCTGTAACGGTGACCAAATAACAATAGTTTAACTAAGATGGAAGTTCTCTCAGAGTCCAAGTTTGTAGGCAATTCATGGAGACTGGGCACTACTGCCCAATGAGATAGGTCCAGGGACTTAGGAGCCTTGTATATTCTTGTTTTGCATCCTGCAGGATGATGCCCTGAGTCCAGGTGAGCTCACCATCACCAGGTTCAAATCCCTACTCTCAGGATGGAGGAAATAAGAAACAGAGTGCTTCCTTTTATGAGCATGACCCAGACACAGCACCCCACTTTCATTCACATCCCACTGGCCAGAGTTTAGTCATAGGCCTATATTTTCCCTTTTTGCAAAAGCCTGTGAAAGACTGACCCTTGCAGCAACTCTAGGCCCCCATACCTGTTCCTTCAGGAAAAGGGCTAAGAGTTATATCGTTCCAAAAGAGCATAATCTCCAACACCTACTTCATGCAAGAGGAGAGAAAAATGAGTAAGGAGCAACCTGCAAGAAAAAGTAGGAAGAAATGGAGAGCAAGCAGCATGTCCCAGAAGCTGCACTCATCACTTTTGCTCAAATCCATTGGCAAACCTAGGCTTATGGCAACAACCACTTACAGGAGAGGCTGGGAAATGTAGTCTCTGACAGGTAGCTCTGTGTTCAGCTAAAACTTGAGGCATTTCATTACTGTAGCAAAAGGAAGAACAGAAATGTGGGGTTTATTCGAAGTGTCCACCGTGAGAGTTAAATATTGCTAGAAAAGAAAAGAAGAGGGACAAGTAAAACAATTACAGTACAAATAAATGCACATCCATGGTAAGGCTTACAAATACCTACTTAGGACAGTGGAAGTGCTAATGACGAAGGGACCAAGTGACAATAACCTCATTGAGACCCTCATTACCTTTTGTCTAGGTTTTGGCAGTATCATCAAAACTGGTCTCTAGACTCCATTCACCAATCAGTTGATTGCCTCAATCAACTATCAGTACTATTACGCTTATCCTTCCAGTACAAAGTTCTCTTATTATTGCTGAAAGCTTTTGGAGATCACTGGTTCTTATAGCAAAAAATTATGGAACCTCCACAAGACCAGCAAGGCCTTCTGTGATCTAACCCTATTCTATGGATTTAATTTCATCTCCCACTATTCTCACTTGCTTCCACCA